CATTCCAGTCCCTTGTCCCAATGCCTCTCAGGCCCAACTGGCCTCTGGTATCTATGATAAAAATGTGCCTATTCCATTTTAATTTATTGCCTTATTATTATTAAGCTAGCTTGAGAGAGTTTCTGCTACTTGTAACCAAGGAATCTCTATGGAAAGGAAAAGAGGGCAGTTGGCAGTGCTACTGTGCAGGATATCATTTTGCAGGGCACAGCCGGGAGGAAGCGCCTGTATATTTTTTCTTTATAAACTGACTGGAGTCTAGTGTCAAATAAGTGTTACATAAACACTAGGTTCAGATGATTCAGAATAAAATCAACTTGAAAAAAATCAAACAGACTTCTATAGACTGCAGAACAAATGTTTATTACTGCTTAATGGGACCAAAGGGGCAACACAAAGCATTGAAAACATCACTGGCTCACAAAAACGGTCACCTTGTTACCTTCTTGGTTGCATTTGTTTATTTCACAAGGCTTCATTCACACCTGAAAACAAGATACTAATCCAATTCAAGTTCATAACAATTATAAAAGTAAACATTTGTTGGGACAATGTACAATAAATTGCACTTTTCTTAACAAGCATTACATTTACATTTATAAAGTGTACTATACATAATACATGGAATTATGGAAACATCTAATTGGTCAGTGTTTATAGAGGAGAGAGGCTGCTCATTAATGTTTCTTTTGTAGTCAGTTAGCACTGTTTGGGCTAATCAACGCCTTTATCCCAGAACCTGTTTTCATTAGAGGAACCATGGACAAAAATCATACAGTTCATAAAAATAGATGGTAGAGAATTTCTACTACCTCCTCAGCAAGGGGAAGGTAGGAGTTGAAAGAAAGGGAGTAGGACTGACTGAGAAACTTTTTTCCCTCATCAGAACCAAGAATCCATACTTACGCAAAATACCAAAAACAGAGAAACTGATGTAAAAGGCTATTGGGACATCTCAGATTCTGGGACCATCTTTAGCTTTATTCTTGTGCTTTCATGACACCAGAGTCTTGATGCATTTATATCCTTATAATTCAGTTTCCTATATTTTATTCCATATATAATATATAGTTATTAAATTACATTTTAATGGAAAAGATTTTACATGTTAACTTACTGCCAGTGAAAAAGGAGAGTAACTTCAAGTGTTCATTTTCTATTCAATGATTCTTTCTTAAATTGAATTTTTCAGAATACCACAAACGATAAACCAAGATGGAGGTGGGGAGAATGGGACGTGCTGGCAAAGATGTTTTCATAGCAGGTAGCAAATTCATTTGGAGATAAGCCTGACATGTAGCCTTTTTGATAGCAGCTGAGAAAGGAATGCCTGCTGACTAGTCACTAAGCTATTGGTAAACATCCACTTTTCTCATTACAAGTCAAGATGGTCTCCTACTGAGGTGCAGCCCACACTGGAGTGTTCATCAAAAGATAAGGAAATTCCTAAGGTAAATGGCTTTGCCTTTATTGTCCAAGCCACTAGGAGAGAGGAAGGATGTTTGGGAGCAGTTCTAGTTCAATGTAACCATCAGCATGGCAACTAGAGGGTAAGAGAGCTTTACATCTGGTAGCACCCTAGTAGGAAACAGGCCACTGAGATGTAGCCTGCCCTTCTGTATTTGATCGCCATGTGTATTCAGGTGCATGGTACCTGGGTGCAAAAAAGAGGCGGGGATGTTCTATGAAATTCTACCAGATGCACATACACACCTAACAAACAACAATTCATCCATTCTCTCATTTGTAATTGAAGCAAGAGAATCAGAGCTTTTTTAAGTGTTGTTTTTAAGACTAAGTTATACAATAGAATTACCTTGGTAAGTAATTAAAAGTGTTCTTTCCCAAAGAGATAAAACAATATATTTTTTAAAAGCTCCTTTTCCTGTTAAAGGGGTCCTGAAGTGAGACAACCACCTTAGCAGAATAGTTAGTAGAGTGATTTCAGCTCAAAAAAAAAAAAGAAAACTCAGTCTCTTACAATAGTTACACATGCGATTCTCAACCTCAGTAACTAATCAAACCTCTTAAGGATCTCTTATCTCATGTGCCCTAAACTGTGTATTCTCTTGTTTTTCTCTCTGTAGCTAGAAAATGAAGCCACTAGTTATTAACTGGAAAATATTTTAAGAAAATGGAATAGGGGCTTGAAAAAAATAAATATATAATATAAAAACGAAAATTTTAAAGAAATGAAGCAAGATAAATATGATTAAATATCCCAACATCAATACAAAGATTGCTTTTTTACTTTACTATGAAAATTTAAGAAAGCCAATGAAGAAGATATTGTTAACAGCTGGGAGGGGGAAGACAGAGATTGGTTGTATGGAAAGAGAGGCCAGAGGCCTATATGACATGCCTATTAGTGTTTCTGATAGGCACTCATATACAGAACATTAGGAAACTGAGAGTTTGTTTCTTTGCATTAAATTACATGTAACTAAATATAAGCCAAATTGTGCCATGGCTTAGGATGTGGGAAGCTAGTGAACATACACTTGCAAAATTCAGCTTGCTTTCTTTCAGCTTTAGAGAATGCGCTAAACAAGGGTTTCAAGATGTAAAAGCTAATGAACTGAATAATCAAGTTGCATTTCATTCCTTTAATTTATTCTGCAGAATTTAATGAAAACAGAAATAATCACTTTTCAGAATGTTGCAAATGTTGGATTTGGGGAGAAATATTTTATACAGTGTATCCTAGGAAAAGATGAAAAACACTCTAGAGAATCTGAAAATTTCCTGGATGCTTGGGCTGATTAATCTCTTTCTACAAGAAGTCAAGAGAAGAGTAGCAATTCTCAAATATATTTCAAAATAGTGAAATTAAAACTAGCAGTTACTTAATGCTAGGATGTGTGCGTTTTCAACAATACATAGTGAAGGATGTGGTTTGGGATAATGCTATTAAAACATATGAATAATCATATCATGAATTTTCTTTCTATCTTTACTATTGCTACTAACCCAAAGGTATTGCAGTCAGGAACAGTTTAGATTTATGGTACGAAACACATACTCAAGTATGATATGGAACTGGAAAAGAAAAATCAATAGATCACCATTATAATCTTTTAAAAGAATTAAAAGGAAATGCAAAAGATAGATTTATTAAATGTTTGGAATGTACATACATGGTGATTTTGTTTAAAGAAAAAATGTAAAGAGCTATGAAATTGAACCAGGTCTACAGATAAGGACCAGGTCTAGAGCCATTCTCCCTCAACTACCATTTAAGGAAAATTATGCAATTTTGGCATTCTGTGGAATGTGCTAATTTTTTGGAAGTGAAAACAAGTGCTATACTGAACTATGAGATTCACAAAAACAAAACATTTTAAATTTGGCTGGTCATTTGATAAGGCAACTTGTACAAGGCTTCTTGGAATCAAAGCATAAGGTACCAGTAAAAGTTAACAAATTATACTAAATGGTTTACAGAAACAAGTACCAAGATGCAATTCTCTGGCCATTAATTATACACACACAAAAAATAATAATTAGCTTTGCAAAACCACCATGTAGGGAATGTTAAAGTCAACATAGACACTCGGAATGCTGGGTTATTTTTTGATGAAATGAATAGTATGATGAAAAATGTCAGGACCAAAAACAAACAAACAAACAAACAAACAAAAAAACTGCTGTAAGGAAAGTATTATCTGATAAGTGTAACCAAAGATAACAGCCCTATCAGATTTATGAGTGGTAGAGGATATAATCACTTACCAGTGAAAAGGACTTCACTTTTTAAGAGTTTACTGATCATTTTAGAGGGAAGGACCCACCAGGAGCAATTTGTAGTACACGCTCCTGAAGCTGAAATGACTCTTTCCTCATTTTTACTTCCAAGAGAGTGTTGCAACATATGGCACAGATGAGAATCACTCGGGCGATACAGAGTTTAAGGTCCTTTGCAAAGAATATGTTCAACAATGAAGCCAAAGATGAGTATTAGTAAACGTTATTGTACATACCTGACAGTAGTTTGGTTGGTGTAAAAGGACCCAAAGCCTCCAAAATAGCTTAGAAAATGAGAAAATTAGTTTTGCCCTTACCAAAGGATTTCCTGCGAGGACTATTTATATAGATACGTTAAATATAATTGAAAAAAATATGTCCACCAACATTTAAACAATAGCTTTCTTTACCTTTCCAAGAGATAAGTATCTCTATAAGGTTTCATATTCAATCAAAAATGTTACAAACACATTTGCATCTCCCTCTAGGGATCCCAAGGGCACATTTTTGGGAGCTACAGAAATCAGGAAAAGTTGCCTAACATTAAACTGAGATGATGTGAAGCTGACCTGTTTCCCATTCCTAACTTTAATGGGGTTACAGTACATTAGTGTTTCCTTAGCATTACATGACACACTGTCCTGGGCTCTGTATTCCATTCTGAACACAACGGCCGAACCTGGGCCTTTCTACGCTTCTCTGGTGAAGGCTCCCTAGGGCAACGATGCGCAATATCTACTTCTGACTTTCCATGTTCCAGAACTCACAGTGTTCCTACTCAGGAACTTGCAATTCCCGTGTGGAACTCTTAAAAGGACCCGTTAGAATACCAGGGCTCAAGTGATTCACTTCATCCTGCATTTATCACCATCTCAGTTCCTTTTATCTCATGTGTATTCTCAATAGCCTATCTTAGTCCATGGTTCTTGGCACTTCATTTCCAGATGTACCCAACAGAAAATGAAATAAACTAATTCTCTTTGGGGACTGTTCAATCCCAGGTCTGTTCTTTCCTTCAGGTAGGATTATCGCTCTCCAGGAAACCCCTTTCAGGAGGAAACCTGACAGTGGTCATGACCGGCCCCACAGTGTGCTTTAGCTGAATAAATCTTGAAAAGTTAAGAGGTTTAGGCTTCATATTTTATTTTTATTTTTATTTTTATTTTTTTAGCTGAGCCATCCTGCCACCTGTTGGCAACTCAGCAGCAGCTCAGCTCGGCCATGAATGGACCCGGCGACCCTGTTGCTCAGAGCTCACACTCTTGAGCGAGCTCTTAACCAACTGAGCCACTCAGCCCGCCTTCAATTTTTTTGTTTTTTCTGTGACAGATATCTTCCTATCACTTCAACCTTGGAATAAAAGACATCTCCATTTTTATGTAAGATAAAAATAATTATGAATAGTTAGTTCTAAATAAAAAGCATTTAGTTCTGAATGACTTACTTCCAACTAAACATCAGGCATATAAAATAATGCATAATGCTATGATGGATCTGAACATGACCTTCCATGAAGAAGCTCGAAAACAGGTATTCAACATAAATCAGGTCAGCTTAAATAATATCCCTTTGAAAAGTGTCATACAAGAAAGAGAGCTACTGAAAGATCTGGCTTGCTTTCTGGCCTCCTTTGCTTTCCTTCAAAGGGACACCAGGGAGAGGTCCCCTGGGTTTCCATCACCTTGATCGTTGTGCTCTTGTGCTGGGGTGAGGCTGGAACTATGTGCTCTCCTTGGGTGGCTGGGTGGCCTGTGGCGGCTGCAGGGGCTGGGTGCCTGTGGCCGTTTTGATCGAGTTCAGGGTTTTGCTAAACCAAGAGTTTTTTGCAGCTTGGATTTCATTCATAAGGGCCCCTCTCTGATGTTCAAGTTCCTAGTTAAAGAAAGAACATCATCTTAGCTTTACAGATGTTTTCTCTCTGCCAAACAAAATCCAAGAATAGCCTTTTGGAATCCCCAGGTCTATATAACCATAGATTTCCTCCCACAAAGCCCAGGAGAGATTTAATTGGCTCCTTAATGCAAGAAAGAAGTTTTAGAGCTACAAGAGTCACCACTAAAAACTGGAACCTGTGCTTTCTCTGAACAGTGAAATGAAACCTCGTTGTATGTTTTTCTCCCCCTGCAATTTAGGTATAGGTTACAACCTGAGATACTATAACATGGTTAAAATCACACATAAACATAAACGTAGGGGTGGACTGAATTTTTACTGATAGTGTAAGCATGAATGGGTTCTAGTTCCAAACACAGGGCCTCTGCCCCTGAAAATGTGCAGCGCAGGAGCAGTTAAAGGCCACTGGTGCGGAGCAGGCTGGTGCCATGACAGGAAATGGCGGTGCGTGAGGATTGCCTATGAGAAGGAAATGGGGAATGTCTGTCAGAGGCCAGGGCTATTTTCCTAATTATGTTATCCTCCAACATGCAAAGAGATTATGGGGAAACAGATTGGCAAAATCAGGTAGAGCTGCAAAGAAGCTCCAAAGAAAAGAATGGGGGTCAGTCAATGTTCAACCACCAGGGGAAGGATAATAGACAGGGTTTAGCCTTTCATGTCTCAGAATCAGCTACCAAAATGACCAAGTTCAACAAGAGAAGGCCTTGGCAAAACAATCTCAGGGTAAACTAAACAAGCATATGCTTAAGTTCTCATAAGGTATAATTTTAATTAAAATTTCAATTAAATCTATGTGTTTCTGTCAGTGTTTGAAAATAATGATGTAAATGTGACTATGCAGGACATGTTAGTAGCCAGGAAATGTGCTGATCAAATAGAGTAACATCTACGATTCTGAGCTAGGTAGGTATTTTCTAAAGTCCTAGCATATGCTAGCCCACTAATGTTATTGTCTCCTGTTGGTATTTTATCACGGCACCAACCTGGATTTTACACTTGGCCTCCACCAGCTGCAGTTTGGTTTGTGCCAATTCCAGCTCCATCTCCCTCAGCTGCTTCCGAAGTGAGTCCTTCTCATCGTCCGACTCGAGTCCCTGGTCCTCTCTGTTTACGGCTGCTGGTTTCAAAGCACCCTCCTTGCTGAAAATGTCACTGCAGTGTTTACATGCCATCATTTTACCCTAAAAAATCCAAAAGAGAAAACCAACATCAAACTGCGTTCCACAGCATAAGTCACTTCCCAAAGCAACATAGGATTTGATTTTTATTGAGACGCTGCTTCTTGCCACCAAATGCACCATTTCAGAAGGCCATTATTTTTCTTGTGCTACAACCAAAATGGTTCTAGTCAGCACAAAACCCAATTATCCAAGACAGCTATTTCTTTTCCTTCCGGTATCTCTAGAGAGATTCTGGGAAGAGACAGTATTATAGCATCTCTTTGGAATCTGTTCTAGAAAGTTTGTATTCCCACTTCTCTTGCGAGTTGTCACACCCCATTCATTATGCTCTGCAAGCAGCATCTCATTTCATGCTAGAGCTGCCGTGTGAGGAGGTACTATCATCACCCGTCTGATACATGAAGAGACTCAGAAGTTAAGCAACTTGCCTATAGCAGACTGAGGCCATTCTCACTCACCTAAGTCTACCCTCGCAACAAATAAAGCATGTGCCCTTTTGTGCAGCTTTGTGCAAGATGGTCATTATTCAAGGTAATAAAAGGACCTCTGGCCTCGACTGCCAATAAGAACACAATCAGCACCGAATCACAGAAATGCTTTTCAAGACAGTAATGCTACTATTTTCTTAGCTCCAAAAATAGTTTAGGGAGAAAAGATATTATAGACTCTTTCTATTTGACGTCTTCCTGTTAAAACAACGTCAGTATGTCCACAACCACAACTTTCCCGATCTCTTCACACACTCACACACATACACATGCACTCACACACACACACACGTACTCACACACACACACACACACACATATACACACACAGCAGCTCTCCCCACATTTCTGTATTATTGTGCATGGCGCCACCATTTAGGCCTGAAGAGTTTGATGCCATCTTTTCACTAGCTTTTCCTTCATTCCATGTTCAGCTGATCACTCCATTCTTCCTTGGACATGTCCAAGCTTTCCCTATCCCCAGCCTGAGTCCCTAAAAGTCACCTTCTCTGCCCCCACTGATTTCTTTCTTATCCCATCCATAATGCACTCTTCAGAGTTCCGCCTGGCTAATGTTCATCATTACCTAGAACATGTAACTCTCGGCACACAGCAAGTACTTGTTATACATTCACTGTTGACTAAACAGAACGTTAAAATGGTGGCTTTTAATCCGGGTCTTCAAAGACTAAAAGTTTACCAAGCTGGGTAAGCAGTTCTATTAGGCTGAAACCTATGAGGGAATAGATTAAACTCACAAGAGGGAGGAAGACATTTTGGCTGAGAAACACCGTGTGCAGAGGCTGGGGCTTCAGAGCACTATGGGGAGCTTGAGACAGCTCAAGCAGGAGCAAGTGATACAGCAGTGAGAGGTGTAAAGTGAGAAGGGTTCCCCGTGACCATGTGGAAAGGTCCTTAACCAGAATGTTACCGAATCCTGGCTTTTTTCTGTAGAAAAGTCATTCATTCCCTTCCCCCAATCCTGTGCTCCTTGTTGGAGATGGGACCTCATGAAGCCAGGCTGGCAGACATGCGGAAATGCTAAGGTGATGGAGAGGCTGCAGATTCCCACCCAACGCCCAGTTCTCCTTCTTCCTTAGTAACAGAACCAGGATGTTATTTGGGCTGGAAATACACCTAGCTAAAAGGGGCCATTTCCTAGAAACCCTTGAAGCTCAGTGTAGCCATGAAACTAAGTTCTGGGCCGACCAAGTGGCATGTTGGTTAAGAACTGGCTTGGGATGCCAGAGAGCCCTGGTTCGGATCCCACATATGAGGGCCAGTGACACTGCCCTCTACAGCTAAGATGCTGAACGGCAGCTCGACTTGGGGCTGGGCTGCCGTGGGTCGCCTGTGACAGTGTAGGCTGCAGCCCCTGTGGCAGTGGGTTGCCATGGGTTACCATGTGTAGCCAGCAGCCAGCGGGAGCGGCCTGCTGCAGTGGGTTGCCATGGGCTACCGTGTGTAGCCAGCAGCCAGCATGAGCGGCCAGCAGCCGCAGTGAGCGGCCGTCCAGAAGCCGGCGACTGATCTGCCTCGCCTGGGGAGAGCGCAATGATGGTGCCAGCTTGGGCCAGTGAAGCAACATCCTCCACAACTAGACTGAAGAACAAAAGGACAGCAACTTATCTGTTCCCCTCCCCCAATTCCCCAATAAAATCTTTAAAAAAAAAAAAAAGAAACTAAGCTCTGCTATGCAAGCATGAGTGTGCTATGGACCTGCTGAGAAGGCTGCTGAGAGACAGCCCACCCAGCTGGAGGTGGGCCCTTACGTCCTTGCATCTCCTTCTGTCCTAAAATTCTACCATGGAATGTGGGTGTGATGGTGGGAACCCCAGCTGACAGGTTTGACTTTTAAGTGACCTTGGGGGTGGAAGCCCACACTGAGGATGTGGAGCACTAACAGCTGATGAGCTTGGATCACTGCCAAAAAACCAAGGATCTTTCTAGCCCTAGGTTTCTTTTACACGAGATAATCAACATCATTGGGGTTTAAGCCAATGTTATTTTGGGTTTTACATAGGTGGCCAATCTAATTCTAAATGGATACAGAAATTTATATCTGGGGATGCTCATTCTGATTATAGTGTAGAGGGTTAACTGGAAGCGGGAGGGGCAGAGGAAGGTTACAGGAGGATGGGACAATCAGAAGCTATCACATCATGCCAAACAAGAGATGAGGAAGTAGCACCAGAGGAAGATAAGGTAATATGATGTAAGGGCCGAGGGTATGGAGTGTAGAGTCTGACTCCTTGGGTTCAAATCCTGGCACAACTGCTTCTCAGCTATGTGACCTTGAGGAAATGAAGTTCCTGTTTTGGTAATCATCAGTAAAACGAGGCCACAATAAATCAGTAAAAAGACGATATTATAGTGTCTATCTTCTCGGGTAGTTGTGAGGGTTATATGGGATAATACATGTAAAGCCTTGCAACAGTACACACAGTAAGTGTTTAACAAGTGTTCACTGTCCTTTATTCTGGCTAAAACAAGTTCAAATTCCTCTTCCTGAATGTCACGGCCTTTCATTAGGTAACCCCACCTATTGTCCAGTAATTTCCTCTGTTCCTTAATACACACTCTAATCACATTGGTCTCCTTAAGGAGATACTGAAATGCTCACTCCTATTTCTGAGTCTTCACTCACACTGTTTCTAACAGAATGGCATTTTTAAATCCTTTTAACTGTACTCCACTCATCCTACTTTAGTCCAACCAGATCTAAAGTCAACTTTGGTCTATAGTTTTTACGATTTTGCTTTCTCTACAACTCTGATTGTCAGTGTCATTCAACTCAGCACTTACTTACATACTTTTGAACTAGTTCCTAAATGTCTCAAGTACATATACATATGGCTTGTTCCCATAAGAAAATTCTATGCTCTCTTCCATGTATAACTTCTATAAAAAAACAGAAGTCTAAAAGCTGTGCACATAGTAAATGCTCAATAAAAACTTTATTGCGTGATCAGTGTCAATCCTTGCTTCATTTTTATTTCTACCAAGAGTTTAGCTCAAGATAGTTAACCCTATTAGGCCATGACACTTCATCAGTTGAGTCCTGGTCAGTTTGCCTACAATGTACAAAGGGGCAAAGAAAGGGAAGAAATTAAACCAAAATTTTAGCACATTTGGGAAGAGAGACCACCAACTCTATACTCGCTAATAACATCATACTGATGTTTTGTAACATAAAGTAAGCAGCAAAGTTAAAATAAGGTTCATATTTTCAGTTCTCATGTCTCAGATTTTCAGGTTATAACTTATAAAAACATGCATATATTGTGTGCCAAGTACTATGCTAAGCACTTTATATACACTATCTTATTTAATCTTCAGAGTGACCTTCTGAGGCAGGTACTGTTATCTCTATCTTACAGAATACAAAATAAAGCTTAGAGAGGTTAAACGTGTCCACATTGTTAAACTAATGCTAACATGCCTAGGATGCATTTATTTACCAGTATTAAACCTGAATACATTCATACAGGATTATGTCAAGTTTCCAAAACACTGCCCAAAGCTGGCTGTGCCAACGTTGCTTCTTAAGAAGCCAATCCATTTGGTTTACTGCTTTTTCCATAGAATAACCAATTGCTTTTCTCAAATAATGAGTTTTGTCACTAGGAGGCAGAGTATAAATAAATGCTGCAAGGTTTTTTTTGTTGTTTTTTGTTTTTGTTTTTGTTTTAAATAAGCCTCTAAAAAATTGGAGGAAAAATCAGTTACCCAACATGTGTTTTCCAGCCAAGTTCTAGATTACCCATGGTGTTCACTGTTCAAGAGAGTGATGGGATGATCCCACTGGGTGTCAATTCAGGCATAGTTGGGATGCAGGCTGCTGGAGGCTCAGGGTTTCCACCACCCAAGAAAGTTCCGGGCCTCTTGTGACAATGCTGAAATCCTGCTACCTGCCTCTGACAGCCCGTAAGATTTATGGGAACATAACCAACCTTTCAGCTGCAGGGAAGAGGAGCACACTCGTCACACGAGAGACACTATTCTCCATAGTTTTTTTAGACCAAAGGGGTGGGTGGGTGGGTGAGATGTCTACACCCGACCTGCCTGTGGGCATTGTCATATACTGGGGTCTTCCTATCAGGTGGTCACTTAAGACTGTGAATCTGGAAGAAATTCTATCCCAGAACCATTTCACCCTCCTCACCTTCACCACTTCCAGTTCCTCCTTGCTGGCTGCTTGCTGCTTCTCCAGTCTGGTGCTTAACTGGGAACAGATCTAAGGGAAAGAAAAGAGTGTCTTTACTGGAAAACAGAATGACCCTTGCAGCATGTGTGCATAACTACTTATCAACTCATAGTACTCACATCTCTGACGCTAGAAGAAATTTTGCAAATGAGCAGCACTGTAAACTCCAGTCCTTTCTGCAGTGAGCAGACAGCCTGGGCGGGCCCCACATGGGACACACGCCTGAATCTTAATTCTTAGAAAAACACACGGGGTAGATTTCACTTCTTTCTGTCACCGGCCTTCATGACTGGTTCCAGAGAATTCCTGCCCTCGCTTTTGGAATCAACGATAGAATCTTTGCTGAGTATCTACTTTGTGCAAAGTGCCATGCTGGGCATCTGATGAAAAGAATTATCAACCAGAAACGTCTTCTGTCTACAGCCACAGAAAGAGTCTCTGTTTTCAACTACAAAAGTTTCCTGATGAAATGGCAGAGTGAATAAGACAAAGGTAAAATGACCAGAAAATAATAAAGATGAAAACTCTTATCAAGTGGTTTGGCAGCAGAGCATAAAAGGAAAAACCAGCAAGTCCAGCTCTACTGCTTTCTAGCATTGTGTCCTTAGACAAATTCACTAATCTTTCTAAGCTTCGTTTCCTCACCAAAAAGTGTTGTGCTGTGATAATCAATGGGAAGAAAAAAAAAATGTATGCAAAGGGTTTAGTACAGCACCTGGCTGATAAGCGCTCATTAAATAAAACCTCATTATTATTGATGCTGAAATAAGGTGCTAACAAGTACGAGAACAGGTAGAAATTAAGTGCTTTTAAAACTAAAAGTGTTTTTTAAAAATACTGGAAGCTCAACTCTTGTTGAATTTGAGTAAAATATGCATCTTTTATTTTTAAGAAATGAAGTAAAAGAGTTAAGGGATGTCAAATTTTAAAGTGCAATTTGGACTAAAAGCATAAAAGATCTACCTCTATTACCAAAACAGACATTTAAAAAAAAATCCCAGTTCACTCAAAAATAGTTCTAGAGACCAGGGCCTGCTTGTTGAGTTCGTTTCTAGTTTCTCCAGATCCAAGCCTGGAAACGATAAATGGGCCCGTATTAGACAATGTTAAAAAGGGTATATAACAAACCATATACCCTTTTAAATAAACCAAAATATTCTGAAATATAGCCAATAATAGCCAATTCCAACTATAGAATGCATTTAGATCATGTTTTATGTCCTAATTATCTTCAAACAGATGGGGTTGTTGCCTTTTACATATGTGAAGTACTTGCCAGAAAATATTCAAGAATAGTCCTGAGGATTGCTATTTGAAGAGTGCTGCATATGGCGGCCACCCATGGCCTAACGTGGCAACAAAAAGAAAAAATGTATTTGCTGTGATGGCAAGTTCCACAGCACACCATCTTCAATGTTCCTTGATTGCTTCAATGTCTAACTACCCCCTCTCCTACTTACCCAAATTCAAAAAATCTCAGGACCACTTTCAGTGTTTTCCTTTGTTCTAGCAAAAAATGACTATTTTTTATGTCTCCCTCTTTTCCGTTGTCATGGCTACTTCTTTTAGTTTAGGGCCCTATTTTTCCTCCCCTGGGCTCTGTCTGTGTCTGCCTGTGGATCTCCACACGTGATTACATTTCTCACTGGGACAGAGTCATGGCGACCATCTGCCCTGATCATGCCGCTGTCCTGCGCAATCATTCCTGCTACAACCAGAATTAAGTCCAAGTTCCTCGTCCCATCCCGGAAGACCTTCCTTGAACTGGGCTCAGCTCCCCGATGCTTCTCTTCTATACTTGAAACTTTTTGCCACACGAAACTATGTCTGTTCACTAACCCACCTCACGCCTTTGCACATGCTGTTCCCTTTCCACCATGTCCATCCTCTCCTTCTCCTGTCCACATCCCCACATCTCAGGTAGCCTTGGAAGCACAGCTCAAGTCACTCCGTCTCCAGGAAGGGTTTCCTCATTTCCCATGGGCGATACAGTCCCTTTCCTCCTCTTTATGCCCAGGTGGCATCTCCCTGTTACAAGGCCAGGTAGCCACATAGGACAACGAGCTCCCACATTCTATACTGTGGCAGCAGAGGGCACACTGGCCCGCTAGCTACTGCCATTTCATACAATCACTAAACTTTAGTCCTGGGCAAAGAGGCCAATGTCCCTAGTGTGATCCATAGGAAATGAACTTCTGAGTAGGGCAGACAGGATCCCCCTGGTAACTAACAATAAGGCTTCTCATTTCTCTAAGTCTACCAAACATCATAAACAAATGGGGCCGTTTTGCTCAAATAAACCTCCCATGTTATCAGTAAGCATGTCCAACCATGTCTGTTCCAGAGGAAAAAAATAAGCCACCAAAGTTAATGAATGCATGAAGTCATTGTTCTAGAAATTATAAGAACAAAATATTTTTCTCCAAAGAAAAACAATAATAATTACCTTTACAGTGACAAAAACCACAGTGGCACATTACCTGTTTATATTCAGCAATGATAGCTGTCGTCTTCTTGATTTCATACTCTGCCTTCTCTAGCTGTTTCCTAAAGACCTCTTTTAGCTAGAAAGAGTGAGAAACATTAAGACTCAGTCAAAATCTTAACAATAAATTTCCCCAATCATCTCGATCCAGCCTGCCCGAATCACAGCCAACGACAAGGTAAACACTACGACTCTATAAATTCTCCCTGAAGCGACATCTTGGCTCATTTGAAAAACCTAATCATCTCCGGAGATACAGAAATCTTACTTTCCTTCCTGTAACATATCAGGCATGAGCAATCCTGTTATAAAAATGCTTACGTGTACTGATCACTTTATAAATCTATTGTTAAAAAGTATCCATTCAGAAGCTACCTTTCTCCGTCTGAGAGTCTAAAACAAACACCAAGGCAACGTTGCAGGCACCCTTATTATAAATGTTATAAATTACTGAGAAACCCAGTTAGGCCTTCCTGTTCAGTCCCCGCCATCGCTGCCCTCACTTCTCTGAATGTAGAAACGAGGCTTTGGGAAACAGATGGAGAAAGATGAGAGCTCTTGAGGTCTGGAGATGTCAAGAAACAGTGGCTTTAGAAGGAGCTAAGGTGACACCCAATGCAGGTACTTGTTATAGTCACAGAAATGCTAATTTACAAATGCTAAAATTAAAATCAGTTATTTTCATAGCCCAGCAGCTCTAGAATTCTAGGTCTAGGGGAGGGTAGAGATGATGAAAAAGGTCAGGTGCCACCAGATAGAGGGAAAAGAATACAATTCCTCCAAGCCGCTGACCAAACAAACAAACAAAAACTAATAATAAAAAAAAGTCTGGTTAATCTTCAAGTACATAATCAGAACAGATGGCTCTGCATTGCAGCACCCCCAGTTATGAATGGGCTATAATTTGTACTTGCTAATTCACAAATTAGTACAATTTATAATCGGACTCATATCATTAGAAGATTTCTGAATTTCTTCATATTTGCTACATTCTAAAATTCTACAAGTAATGTGTAGGCTATACTGATTCAAACTTAGTCTCTATTTTCTCTCTTACATAATTTAAGGACATAACCATAGCCTGCTTCCTCCTGGGATAGGGCCGCACTGACTTTAGGACAAACTCACATGGCTGACGGGCTTAGAGCAAGTGTCACTAATTCTCTAAGCCATAGTTTTCTCATCTAACAAAGCTCATGAGGGTCCCATATGATTAAAACAGGACACACACACACACACACACACACACACACACACACACACGGAAGAAGCACAAAATAAATTCATTTGCAAATTCATTGTTTACCTGAGGTCCTGAAAGTGAGCCCCCCAAAAAGCAGGAGGTAAAAGAAAAAACAAAACAGCCTAGATCAAACTGGATACAAACTGGATAATCAGCCCCTCAAAAACTTAGAGTGTTAAAAAAAATATATATATATATATATATATATATATATATATATATATATATATATATATATATATATCTTGGTCCACAGTAAATGCCAAAAGAAAAAAAAGAAAAAATCATGGAACACTTTTTATAAACCCTGGAAGGTGCTAAATGATACATCCATTCCTGAGTAACTTTCCTGGGACCTTTCCCTTCTTGGATGTAGGTCTTTAAAAGGCTTTGTGTTCTGTTTTATATTTAGCATCACTGATATGTGAGGACGAATCTCATTAAAATGAACAAGTTAATCACGCCTGGCCAGGGCTCGCACAGATGGAGGGCACCGGGGAAGCCGCCGGCTCTTCCCCTGGAAAGCCGGAAGCGCTGACATCTTGGGCGGAAAGGCCCTTCCTGTCGCCTATCCAGGACCCTGGCAATGGTGGTGTCTTCCAGCTGATTAGCCTCCGAGCTTACGGAAGATGGTAGGCTGATCTTGTATGAGCTAGGAGGCTAATAAGTTCAGGGCTGCTTCCCCCAGGGACTAAGGTGTGAGGGCCCTGCCAGAACGTGGGCATGAATCAGGAAAAGTACACATGGCCTGCTGAGGCAACTCCCAGCAGGGATTTCTGTGAGCTTTCCGCGTAACAGGCCTCAGAAACGACTTCAGAGAAATCAATTATCTTGGAGATAGGACAGGAAATGTGCAGATTTCTCAAAGCTCTTGGATCATCATCCGAAGTCACTAAACTTAGAGAAAACTTAACACCCTCGCTAGACAGCTCAGTAAAGGCAAATTCCTAAAAGCTGTTCGAGGGAGGAAATGCTGCCTCCTCTTCTGACGCCTTCCCAAGAAATGTCAGCACTCGGTGCTCCTCGCATGTCCCGCTTCCACGTCACCCTTGATTTTGAATAAAGCCACTTCTTGTTTGCAGAACTGATCCCCTGCATCTCCTGTGTCGGACACCTGTGCAAGGAAAAGCCCGCCATGCCTTTCACCTGCGCGGCCCCCTCCTCCTGCTTCCTCTTCTCTTCTTCAATCTCCACCAGCCTCTGTTTGGTCAAGAGCAGCTCCTTATTCAGCACGTCGGCCTTGTCTTCCGCCTGCATCAGAGCACGGTCACAGTCACAAAGGAGGTAAGAGCCTGTGTGCACCCTCCCTCCAGCCTCCACCTGTTTTTGTTCCAGCATCCCTTCGAGCCAGCTTTCCCCTCCTAGCTCACCCAGGGGGTGGCTGCTTTCACTGAATTCCAACTACACACCAGGCCCTCGGCACACATTATCTCTAATCCTCAAAACAATACTTCTTTTCCAGATAATCACAGGGAGGTCTGCAGAGATCAAACGGAGACACACACCTGATATCACAGCCATGAGCTGAATTCAGGTTTGAAGGGCATCAGAGAGCCCACGCTCTTCTAAAGGCTTCCTACACATTTTCGGATGTCACAGCAGCACTCACTCTGAGACTGTGCAGATGGGTGAAGGGGTGGAGCCTCCTATGGAAGCTTCTAACTGGTACTGAATGGGGCTGGATTCAGAGAGGGTGAGCACACAGGGGGAGCCATGGACCAGTCAGGGGAGAAAATTCAAAGACCGAGCCCCACAAGGGACCTCACACAGAACAATGAGCATAGTAGAGAGAAATTAAGACCGAAACCCCAGGATAGAGACAGCCAGGAGGAAAACTGAAACATGGACCAGCAATCCAAACAGAAAAGACCGTATTTCTACAATGGCCAAGAAAAGCTCCGAGTCCTCTGGTCTTACCTTGGATACAAAGCCAAAGTTAGCTACGAGCGCACTCAGCGTATGTTTAACTTAGTTAACACGTGTCTATTTTACACCCTAAGGCCCTTACCTCACTCTGTAGGGCACGGCTTCAAGTTCACATCTGCAGGGAGCATGGCCTGAGCCCTGCCCCACACACCTCCCTCTACATTAGTTCCTCTGTTTAACGCTCTATTTCCCTCGGTAGCACTTAGCGCCATCTGTAATGATGATGTGCGACTTGTCTTCCCCACTAGACTTTAAGCTCTGGGGGCAGGAGCCACATCTCTTTGAGGCATCACTACATCCCCAGAAGCAAGCCCAGCACCAAGAACAGAGTGGGTGCGTCCTCGGTATTTGGTGAATGAATGGAGGTGGCTCTCAGAGTCACGGCAGAAGCAGGCTGTGTGGGGTGGAGGTGGCAGAGGGCCACCGATGAGCTCAGCAGAGAAAGACGCAGAGGAGAAGCAGCTACCCCTGGCTGACAGCAGCACAAACTTATCCAAGTAATCGTGAAAACTGGCCAGGTGGCCTCCTGTCTGTTTCGCCATGTCTCCCACATGTCCAGATGGCGAGGCCAGCAGTCAGCTGGGTGCTGGCAGAGAAGCTGCATTTTCTGTTCTCACTCTCTTATAGTCCCCATGTTCCATGTCCGTGGTTATAGCTCTGTTTTCAGATCATTTGGAATTGCCGGGTAGTTAAGGTGAAAAAGTCCCTTTTAAAGACTCTAAAATTTGCTCAGACACATTAGATTGTTAGGGAGGAGGGGCAGAATTATGAAGCAAAAGAACATCTTAAAATTAGAGGTGGACCTCAGAAAATGCAACAGATATGTTTCAAGTTAAGTTTTCATGTAGATTATGGAAACTCAAGAGCCGCAAGCCAGATGACAGAAGTTCCCCACAAAGCAGGGAGACCCTTCTCAAAGTCTCAGACAGAGGGTCCTCAAGTGGAAAATCATTAAGCCGATCCTTTCAGTGTTTATTAAAAATCAAACAAAATCTATCTGCCTATAACTCCAACCACTGATTCAAATTCAACCCTAGAAAATCGGAGCGACAGCCCTGCTAATAAAGATTATAATTTAACCTCCTCTTACAGTACCCCCAGCAAGTTCCATTTTGTGAAATTTATAATATAAATCATGACACTCTGAAATAATTTATTTCCAAGCTTGGTTTCTCAAAGGGAGATTCACCCCAAATTTTAGCCTTTTGTAAACTTTTGAAGAATCAATGCTATCACCCTGACATTCAGTAATGAGCTTCTTAAATTCTGCAGCGTATCTAGACATTTTACAGTTTTTGGAAATGTCCCTGAGAAAAAGAAAATAAAACCACTTCCCTGAGGAAATCTTTAATAGACACCTAAATATTTATGATGAGAGGACCTGCTACTTTAATCTCATGTTTTCTGCTGCACATTCTTTACCAGGTCAAGGTAAGGCAGGCTGACTCTTTCTGTTGTTATCAGATCTGACACTTGCAGGCATTTCTGTGGGTCCCGTATGGAAGAGTCCCAGAATTTTCCAGGGAGCTTCATCTGAAGTTTCTCCTCTATGTTAAACAGTGGAGGAGGAGTGATTTTACTGCTCATCAAAATAGGGCCAGGTCTAAAATAACCTGGTTCTCCCTCTAAAAACAATCTTCAGGGTCTTCGTACAGCCAATCTCTATACCTCACTTACATAAGTAGAAATCATCTTTCACATTAAATGAACCTCTAGGAACATAACACTAAACAGATAGATACTTAAATTCTATCTGTGAACCCAAATTCTAAAACCTTCACCATAATTTGATAAAACTGAGTGGACCATTGTTATTATTAATCTTGTAGTCACTTACCAATACCTTACAGTGCCTTATTGATACTGAAATTTCTAATTGCTCACTAATGCTTCTACGACATGTGAGAGAAACGACACTGCCATTTGTGATTTAGTCATGAAACAACCGATACCCTGATCAAAAGGCTCAGCTGTAACATCAGGATGAGGATCTGTCAGAAATGGTTTTGCAAAGAATTAGCCAAGTCAGTTGTTCAATTTAAAACAAAATAAATGAATTTGCCACTTATTACAGGTAGCTTCCCTAACACGGAACGTGCTGTGGGGAGAAGGGACCTCGGCACAGCCTTGGGAGGGAAACACCGGTTCTTTCTGTCTCTTCTGACTGCTCCCAGGGAACAGGATATGGCAGGAAGGGCTGAGAGCAGGCAGCAGCAGAAAATGACATGGAGATGCTGTATCTTTGTACATTTCTCATCCCTGAGAAGCCCTTAATTAAAAGGAGCCTGGGCCGGCCAAGTGGCTTGTTGGTTAAGAGTTGGCTTGGGAGCGCGAGCTCTGAGCAGCAGGGCTGCTGGTTCGGTTTCCACATGAGGGCCAGTGATGCTGCGCCTTCTACAGCTAAGATGGTGAACAACAGCTCGACCTGGAGCTGGGCTGCCGTGAGCTACTGTCAGTGGCCATCCAGAGCTCTGCCGGTGACCGACTGCCTCACCCGGGAAGAGCGCAATGATCATAATACCAACATGGGCCAGTGAAGTGACGTCCTCCACAACTAGACTGAAGAACAGAAGGAGAGCAACTTGTCTGTTCCCCTTCCCCGATTCCCCAATGCTGCTCCCTGCTCCTAATTCCTCAATAAAATCTTAAAAAAAAAAAAAAAGGAGTCTGAGGGAGGGTGAGTTGTTAAAAGAGAAGGCTCTGTCTGAGAGGAAAAACCAGGAGCCTTGGATGCCTAGGAAGCCTGAAGCCAACACTGAAATGACAAGGGTAAGGGGTAATTTATTTTCAAAAAGTACCCAATTACCTAATTAATGTTTGTTTGCCTTATATTTCAAATATAATCTGCTTTTATGTTCATTTATTGTTTGCCAAAGTTTTGCTATTTTAATTAAGAGAGTTGATTTTGATAAACTGGGAACGGTAAAGTACCAGGTGAACTGGGTGAAGGCAGGGAAAGCCAGTCCGTTAGCTCTCAGGTGAGTGCCCTTCCTGGAGGCTGGAGAGGCAGGTCACCCAAACCACAGGGACAGCATTCTGATCCGTGAATAAGCCCCGCTCTGAGGCAGAAACTGCAAAATCAGGTGCTAGGAGGAGATATGCATGAAAGAGCAACTTGTATTCTTTCATCTAGATAACAAGATTCAAAAGGCAGGGGTCAGGTCTTACTTCCTTCCATAAAAAGGGAGAGAATGAGAGGCATGATGGGAGGAAATAAGGGTGAGAAGGAATAAATGAAGGAATCTTTTCTTCAGGGACTGATCTATAATAGTATCTACATGAAGTAGCTAGGTATGCAATAATCATTTCAGGAGTACCACATAACCGTCATTCCAGACTGATCCATAAAATGAATTTTCTTGGAAAAACTTTACATAATGTATTTTTAAATAATATATTTTTATAATTATTTTAAAATAATATATGTATTTAAATATGCATGTTTTTAAATAATATATTTTAATAATTTTAAAATAATGTATTTTACATTTTAAAAAATGTTAAACAAATTTTGAAATAATATATTTTTTCTGATTGTTAAAAAGTTATAATGCATATTATTATTTAAGCAAGGGTGGTCAAGTAGTTTAAGGTCTTCTGATAAAAGATCAGTAATTAAACGAATAAAAATATAAAGATGCATATAAAAAATTAGGTTTACTTTTATCACCCAGGGATATCTAGTAGTAAAATTTTGATGTATTTTCTTGTAGGCATTTTTCCCGTAGAGGGATAGTCCAGCCTCCTTTCCTACAAGATAGCCCTATGCCAGCCATAGCCCTTGTAATTTATATGCAAACATTATACACAAATTAATTTAATGTTTTTTAAAAATACTATTATATCATTATCTTCCCACTGTTTTTAAAAACTATTCCAAAAACCCATTTTAGAGACACTTTCATTCTCCCCTTCTATTGGACATATGCATTATTTCTATTTTTTATTCTTACAAGTAACACTACAGTAAATAACCTTGTATATATATTTTTTTTTAACCAAATCTCTATTTTTGTTAGGTTAGCTTTCCACTGCATCCCCACTGAGTCCAACTGCTTAAAACTTTTTTCATTTAGTTAGCCGTCTTAAGGAAACTATTAATGGATAAGAGGTTAAAATAACAGAATCTGCTGTGTATTAACTTTGGAAAGTTAATACGGAATTTCATTCTAGTACTAACTCACTGCTATAATCTTATTAGTACAAAAACATAATCGTTGAGGTCAGGTGGGGTGGGGGTGGGGGGGTGACCCTGGCCGACTGGGGCGGCTCTGCCTTCTTTGGTTCTGACTCTTTTAGTCTCAGCTTTCCTGCTACCTCTAACGACTTCCAAATAGAGTGGTTGCATGGGGTTTGTGGTGAAAAGGGCCATCCCCTCACCTCCCCCACCGGGCTGCTTTTCCTACCTTCCATATCCGGCGTCCTGAGAGCACAGATTTTGTTTTATTTTCAAACTCCATTTAGTGCTGACTCCTTCAGCCCCGTCCTCCCCACTTTTAGCCCTATTGTCTTATCAGTGGTCTTATCTGTCATCTTACTGTGGTTAAAACTGTTGAGCTGCAACATTAGCTGTTTATATGGGAAAAAAGAGTTGTGGCAGGGGCCATTTTTAAACATTTAAAAAATTCCTTCAACTTTAAACATTCAATCAGATTTATATTATTAATGGATTTGTATTTTAAATATTGCCAATTCTCAGAGCGCAGAGAATGCCTACTTTTTTTTTTTTTTTTTTTTACAGATTCAATAGTCTAAGTCTCAATTTTTCTCCACTACTTGTTGGGAATATTCACTTTTTAAAAGTCAGAACATGGAGTAATAATTTTAAATCTACACAAGACTCCTTTCATGTTGCCAACTATCTTTGAAAACACTAGCAATAGAAAACAGGAAGTCCCGAAGCTGTCGGTAATTTTGTAAAGAACAAGGGAAGTAAAACAATTTAAGGTCTTCACAGCAACAGCTAACATTTATCCAACACGTACTATGGAGGTGCCCGACTTTACTTAATTCTCACATCTCCCCTGTAAGACACACTTCTTTATACCTATGGGCAGGGGAAGAACTGCCTAGGCACATGGTTAGGGAGTGGTAATGCCAGGATTCACACCCAGTGCTGCTCTCGGCCACCAGGACGCCTGGCAACCCAACAATGCATGTATCTGAACACTCATACTTCATGGAAAATCTTCACATTTACTGCCAATGAGAATTCTTTCTGGAACAAAAAGTGACACACCTACCAGTGTTAGAATGGCATTCGTGTACGTGACTGATGTGCTCAGGTGATTATGCTGGCAGCCCTTGGTTTAGGAAAAGTACAGATGAAGAGAGGAGACGCCAGAGAAGTTCAGAGGTATAGACTAAATATGTCGCACATGCTGTTTGGAAGCGACCCAAACCTTTCTCAAAGCCTTGCGTTTTCCACCTGCTCCAAAGAGCACAAGCAGTCAGTCCCCTGCCACCTGCCACCCACACATCCATCCATCAAAGCAGCTAACTCAGTGACAAGGACAGAGGCAGTCCCAGCGGGCCTGTGGAGAGGCAACTTGGTCCTGGTCTTTGAGGAGGCTGTCACAATCTTACCTTTACCTAGTGAGTGACGAATTTACCTGATCCAAGTCATTCCGCAGGGCAATTTTGCTGGTTACTAGTTCATGGGCGAGGTCATCATTCTCTTGTTCCAATCTCATGCTGGCCTCCTGTAATCTCCGGTTCTCCCTCTGCAGGAAAAGAGCAAAGCCAGAGGCTGGCGTGAGCGCCTGGGCGCACTGGCATCAACAGATGGGACTGGCGAGGAAAAACGAGAGCAACAACAGCGTGGACTTCTGAAGGTGTAAAAAGAGAAGGTGCGAGTGGCACAGGGAGGCAGAGCTGTCCGGAAAACATCAGTGAGTGAAGCTGGCGGTGCAGAGGCGGCACGCTCCCCAGTGGCACTTACAACTGTCCCTGAAGCCTTCCAGACAGGACTTCATTCTAAAAAGTGTGCCACAAAAAAGCAACATTCCCAAACATAAGCCCAGTCCTGTGAGGTTTCCGCATAGACCTAGAACGCAGACACAGGCAGTTCTTTGTTGGAAACATGCACAATTACCCCACCCTGACCTTGGGAAACCGCAAGACACAGTAGGGTTGAAATGGGGGAAAACCACTAGACATTTCTTCAAACTGTTTTTCCAATAGCAGGGTTCGAATTCTCTGAACATATGTACCCAGAACCAGGCTACACGGGTTCATGACTGCAGTCAACCGACATCTTCATTCTTTGGGTAAAAATATATTTCCTTTTCTGAACACCAACTTCTGTGTTAGTAAGAGCAGTAATCCTTATGATAATGTCTCTAAACGTTTGCTTTGGGTATTTTGAAGTTTCAGATTCAAAGATTCTGGGTAAAATACATTACCGAGCTGTTTCTTTCCCCTTGAACTGCCAGTCACATTGTTATGAAGTAAGGTCTCCCTTTAACCAGCCATATGAACCATGTACATTCATATCAGAAGAGCAACCTAGCAGCAGCCCCCATTCCCAAGCATCAGAAGTGCTCTCTCTGCTTTGTTAGCAGTTACAGGAGATTTGAGAGAGAGCTGACGGAAAAGGTTCTGCATGATAAGACCTTCCTGTTTTTCAGATTTACACTCCTAACAGTGTTTTCTGCAAGGGTGGCAAAAACGACGACAAAGCAGTGTTGCACAACGAGAAGACAAATCTATGTCCTGGAAGACTCTTATTGCATAATGTGTGTGTGCGTGTGTGTGCATGCGCGCGTGCGCGCGTGTGTGCATGTGTGTGTGCGTGTGTGTGTGTGTGTGTATATGTTTGGTGAATTTTATCGTCTGTAGAACAACCTGGGGTTTGTCATATGGAAAGAAGAAAACCTAATTTTTTTTTTCATTTTTGTTTTTCAAAGACGGACTAAGAAACAGATGGTAAGGGCAAAGTCCGGGCTTTCATGGAGGCAGAGGATCCAAAACAGGGCCAGCAGAGAAGCTAACGGACGAACCTGTACTTTGACTATTACCAGACAACAGGTTTCATTTCCATCTTTTCTTTTGGAGAAGGTAGACGGGGATAACTCGGGAATGTTAACACATTTAAAAAAAAATACCTATGAAAAAGGTTTAAAACTCCCAAATCATTTAGATACTTGTAATTAAACTCATGACACAGTTCCATGCAGTATTAAAATACAAGTGAAAAATATCTAATGGCAGAAGAAATGCTTATGCTACCCTGTAGAAAAAGAGATAAGTAACTAGGAAATCCCGTTTTCATAAAAATAAATAACAGGTATTAACTGTGGGTAGTGGATTATTTTCATTGTTGTCTTTGTGATATTAAAAGCTTTCTAAGTTTTCTACAATGAATATATAATACATGTATTTAAAAAGTTGTTTAAAAAAATGAAAAGTAATATAGAATTTCAATTCCACTGGAAAGAATAAAATATCAAAAAGGGATTTTTTTTAAGTCCACTGTTGTTAGAAGCCCATATTTTACATGTAACCATACCAGATCTTCCTTTGTGACCAAAATACAATGCAATCCCTCAAAAGTGCTGCCTTCAGGAACTCTCTAAGATATTCCCAGAAAGACAGTGTGCCTATTTATAGGGGCAAATTGTACTCATCCAATTCTGTCTGTCCCCCCATCTACTGAATTTCTCTCCTCCCACAGAAGCATAATAAACGTGGAGACTAAAATATTTAAAAAGGCATCTACAGCTAAGCCTTTCCATCTTCATTGAAGAGATCCAAATTCTAGCAGGGGCTAGACAGTCTTTCATCCTGTTACCCCTTTTGTGGACACAACTAACATACTTGTTGAAAACTCAGATTAAAAAAAAAAAAGCTTCAGAAACTTTTCTAATAAATGTCCTCCTTGTCAGGAACAGGCAACAATACCAGCCCAATTTCATCACACCAGATTTCACAATGCCGAGAAGAGGTTTTTCTCGTTCTTCATAAATCCCTTCCAAGGAGACCATGGTTAAGACTACTGTAATACCTATTCCTAACTTCAGTGTCCTATTTCTACTGAAATTGCTTGCAGGACTCCAAGGTACAAAAAGCTCCCTTATTACTTACATCACATTCGTTTTGGCACAAGTGAAAGTGTGGTAGCTACCAGTTTTTCAGGTTACAGTGCTTAGAATCGAGTTGAAATAACTTCCAGGTAAAGCCACAAGATGCTTGTGGAAAAGCACTTTGTTCAAAGTACTTAAAAAACGCAGCAGGTAGCTACTTCCTAAATGATTAGAGATCGGTGTCTGATGGGTTATGTTATAGAAGAAAGGGATGTGAGCTCAGCTGAAATTCTGCCTGGCAACTTCCTATTAACAATGACTGTTCCAACTTGAACCCTTCCTATAGACAGACACACAGCTAAGGGGGTAAGAAGTGGATAGGGGGAGATCTGGGAGAAAATCTGAGTGTCTGAGGGACCCTAAGAAGCAAAATAGCCTGAGGGGCGCACCTAGTGGCTTTTGCTTTAGCAGGAAGCTTCAGTTCAGTGTCTGCAAAGCAAGCAGCAGAGTGGGACATAGGAGCCTCCTGCTCTGTACTCACACACACGGGGAAAGCAAGCTATGGAGCCAAAAATGCAGTATCATCCTCCAAAATATGAAGTTGGGCCGGGAGGTGGCCTCAGGGGTCCTCCAGGCATTGAGTGTCATGTGAGCCACGGCTACTGGAGATTTTCTATGAAGGCCTTGATCACATTCACCAAGGGTTAAAGAGAGACTGAACTATGTGGCTATCTTTCCCAGCCTTTACCAAGGAGCCCAAACGGGTTTCAGAACGGACTGATTCAAGAAAGAAGTCTGTCTTTATACTAGAACGGAGAAGAACGCTTCATTTTGATGGGCTTGGGAAAGGTAGGAACCTTGCTTGGTTCATTTGGAAATGTTAGCAAGGGCTGCCTGCCCCAGAGAGACCCGAACTCAGCTCTGTTCGCCTCTGTAAGCCAGAGTCACATGTCGCACATCTGCACAAGCAGATGTGCTCAATGCTCAGAGCCTGGGAACAAAACAGGCAAATCGCTGCCTTCGCCTTTCAGCAAAGAGTCCAGGAGACACTGTGTTCATAACTCTTAACACTCGCATCGCGCTGTCTGAAACAGGCTCCAGCTCACACTGTTGACAGCCTCGGAACAGAAAGCAGACAACGGCTTTCCTCATTCATTCCTTTCCCTCCTGCCCAGGAGATGCGCAGCTGGGAAAGTGCAGTAAGTTACTTTTCAGAGGAGGATACTGCATTTTTCAGAGAGACAGACGCTGATATTACAGACACACACAGATAAAAAAACTTACCTCCTCAAAAGTCATTCATAGACCAACTACCGTTTTCAATCATAGGTACAAAGACAATTGAAAAAAACAAAAAAGAAAAAGATCCAGTGAAATTGCACACCTATTAATACATTTAGGAAATGGTAACAAGAGCAGACACTTGTTAATGTCTTTTGTTTTTCCTCAGTGTCATATACTCTAAGTTCTCTCTAGGACTGCAAACATTTGATGGAAGAAAGTATACTCGAGGCAGCCAGTGGGCACGTCTCCACTCAGGAAGCTCGAGACACTGAAACCCCTCTCTCTCCACAAGCGCTCTGCAGCTTGCAGGACTGCTGGAAACGCTGTGTGTGGAAGTGTTAGCAGCTTCGGTGTGAGCTGGCTGTCCTGGGTTATTAGAGCGGATGGAAGGAACTTCCTTATATGACAAGGTTGGAACCTTGCGAAACAGTTTACCTTCAGGCAACAGAATGACATGGCTGGGCAGGCGGCCTGGTGGGGGGGCGGGGGTGCAAAAATAAATAAATAAATGGATCCCAGTTCTCCCCATGTCTGAAGTTTGGGTGAAAACAGTCCTAGGGATGGTGAACGTCATTTTTTCCAAGATGAAAAAAGAGAAAAATGTGAGATGGCAATCAAAAGAAAGTAAACTAAACCTTAAAAGGAAAAATGATGGGCTAGGAGACAGCTTTATAAACTCTAGCTCAGGATTTTGGGTGTGTTGTCTGCTGCTATAATGAATTCTTGGCATTTGTTTTTAAAGATTTTTAAAGGTCAGGGGAAAATGTTTTTCTGAAAGATCCAGTGCAATTTTATTAGCAACAACACACTCAGCTCTCACTTGCTTTGTTTTGCATACCTCTTTGGAAAGAAAGAGTTGATAATCATCATATTCAAATTTCATCCAGTACTTTGACATTCAAAGACAAATGCTTACACATGAAATGTTTAAATGACTACATTGTCTGTAAACAAAAATTTGAGAAAGAAAACCTGGATATTTAAAATCATTTTATGCTCTTCCTTTACCCAACATAGCCAATCTTATCTTCCTGGTAGAAATTAAAAATAATTGTGAGGTCAAACTGAAAACAAAATCTTGTCAGTAATAATTAACTGGAAGTTGGCAAGCCAGACTGCATTTCTTTTGGTATTAAAAAAAAAAATCTTAGCACAGGGGTCAGTAAACTTTTAATGTACATGGCCAGGTGATAAATATTTTTGGCTCTGCAGAACATATGGTCTTTGTTGAGATGACTTAACTCTGTCACTGAAGTGCAAAATCAAACAATCACTAAACAAATGGGTGTGGCTGTGATCCAATAATACTTTATTTACAAAAACAGGCAGTGGGCCACATTTGGCCCACAGGCCATAGCTTGCAAATCCGTGCTCTACTCTAGCATACAAATCAAATTTTAAAAAACCAAATGGGT